CTTGGTAGCCCAGGCTGGCCTCGAACTCACAGAGATCCGCCTGGCTCTGCCTCCCGAGTGCTGGGATTAAAGGTGTGCGCCACCACCGCCCGGCAAGTTACACATTTCTTTACAGCCAGAGATCGTTTCTGTCCAGTGCTCACGGTGTGACAGATGAAGCACGGAACACCAGGGACAGAGAGTGAACTTGGGGTTCAGAGTCTTAAACCTAAGGTAGGGGCGCACAGACCCCGCACCTTGTCCTTAGCCCTGTCAGGAAGAAGAATGTTCGCCGAGAAGGGCCTGGGACCTGTCAGGATGCTTCATGCCCCCTTGGAGTAAGCCCACCTCAACTCTCCTCTCCTGTGGCCCTAGGGGTGGTCCTGGGGTGCTCTGAGGCTGGATATTCCCAGGTTCGATGCCCTCAGAGCCTTGATTCCGGGCTTGGCATTTGTTCCGGTGAAGGACTTCTTTTCTGAATCTGTCTATCTATCTATCTATCTATCTATCTATCTATCTATCTATCTATCTATCTATCTATCTATCTATGTATCTATCTATCTATCTATCTATCTATCTATCTATCTATCTATCTATCTATCTATCTATCTATCATCTATAGCTTTACTATGTGGTTTAAAAAATAGAGAGGTTAGAAATGTTTTGTTTTTTGTTTTTTAATTTTGCCACCTGGAATCGAATCCAGGGCCCTGTACAGGTCAGGGCTTCTGAGCTATACTGCCCTCCAAAATATAGGTTTAAGCTACTTTAGTCTTCAACTATCAAAATCAAAAAAAAAAAAAAAAAAAGGTAGAAAATTCCTTCAGTAGAAGTAAGAAATACCTACTGCTAAGGAAGTTACTCGGCTTACCCAGCATGCATGAAACCTTGGGTCCCATCCCCAGCACTGCCATGGAAAGTGGACATAGTGATGCATGCTGGTCATCCCAGCACTTGGGAAATAGAGGCAGGAAGATCAGGAGTTCAAGGTCATCCTTGATTACACGCGGTGTTTGAAGCCAGTCTTGGGTAAATAAGACCCTGTCGATTATTTTTAAAGTAAATATCCTAGAACCATGTGACAGATAACTAAAGAACAGAGATAGGGAGCGGGGGATGGAGAGAGAAAAGAGACAGTCCACAGCTGGATAGAAAACCTCTGAGCGCTGCGTTGGGGAAAGAAATACACAAAAAATCCAAGGAAGATCTTTCACCCTTTTGATTGCTGTTTGGGTTTGGTTTGGATGTAGGATATCACAGCCCTGGTTAGCCTAGTACTTGATAAGTAGTCCAGTGCAACCTCAGAATTAAAATTAAAACTGCATT